ACTAAAATATGAGAACCGTTTAAAGCGTCATACCTTGGGTGGCTTGAACGGGTATTCTGGAGGAAAGTGCATGCCGATTTTGAAGACTCCGTTCTCGTAAGGCGATCCTGCTGGTCCGAAAAGCACAGCCTCCCAATAAAACATATTTCCATCAACGGGGCCTAATCATATGTGTGAAACAAAAAAAATTAGTACTTTATTCAAAACTCGGAAACAACATAATTAAGCGTAATACAGAAACGAAATACCTGTACTGTAGAGCGGGCTCTTAACCCTCTCAATTTCCTTTTTCTGCATTGTGATGGCTCTCTCCCAGTACGGGACCTCCTCCTCCGATGAACCGCTGCTGTAGCTTGGCATTATCTGCCCAAAACAGAAGGGATCAGTACAATACAAAGACAAACGATATAGCACAAAAAACATTTTGATACTAATATACACTACCGAGCATCTAAACAACTACAACGATTCAGTACATCATACCATATCACATATATCATATCATGATATCATATCACATCGATTTAGCAATATCATCATATCATATCACATATACCAAACAAAAAACAGAAGATCGAATCATATGGACCCCATAAACTACTTAATCATATTCGAGAAAGGCATTTAAAGTCTCACAAAATCGAAAACACAAAATCATATTCGATAATGCCTTAAACATTTAGACGAATGATGCTAGTGATAGTTGGAAACACCAATTACATCGAAACCAAACTCAGATTGAAAGCTTAAAACCATTAAATCATTTCCGAAATAGTTTAATCAGGGTCTAATTTCATTGAATTACACCCCAATTGCAACCCCAATACACATAATCAGCTTTGTTAATGCATTTTAACATACACACGAGTAATGCATATGGAAGAACTAGACTCCAATTTGAACCCCAAAGAAAAGCCCCAATTAATTCCCCCAAAATGAAAAAACCCTAATTTCATCGGAAAAAAAATTCACCAAATGACAGTATAACATGAATTTGTATTCGAAAGCAAGTGAAAAACGATTTAATTTCATTGTATTACACCCCAATTACAATCCCAAATGAAAGCCCCAAAATTTTTCCCTTTTCATATGAACCCTAATTTCACCGATTTCAATTTCCTTTCAAATCTCTCAAAATATTAACTTCTAATCGTTTTCGTGTTTGAATGAAGTGAGATGACTCGAAATCGACACTAATAACCCAACCTAAACCACCGATTAGAGATTTGAAAATTTTCCCCATGAAATCCAAACCCTAATTTCCCATTATCGAATGAAATCGGGCAAAAGGAAGAGAAGAAACGCTTACCTCGACAATAATCACGGAAGCCCGACCTTCGGTTGTCCACTACACCGGCAAAAGTCGACGGTTTCGACGGATTTGATGGAGGCGACGAGAATCGCCGTAGGAGAGGAAGAGAGAAAATAAAAAAAAACTCGGGAAGGAGAAATGAATTTTTGGGAAAAAAAATTTTCCCTTCCCCAAAAATGACGAGCTTCGCCACGTGTCTGGGATGCAGGTTCATCAGATTCTTTCGGATGGACCAATCCGTTGATTTTGGACCTTTTTTCTTTTTTTTTAAAATTCATTTCACCTTAGAACTCGAGCTAAATCCGTCCAACGGACTACCACTGGACCTGGTCTAAGATCTCTACTAGATACAGTGACCAAGATATATACCAGACCTTCAAGCTCAAATATTTACCTTTCCCACGCAGGTAACCTCACGAACTTGCATATCCGTGAGATTAGTTGGGCTCGTTTGGATTATCTACTATTTTTTTTTTAAAAAAAGATAACTATAATTATTGGTTTTGGTTTTGAATATATATATACTTTATATAGACACACCTAAGTAAATGAAATTAATATTTTTTGTTATGTTGGTTAAAAGTCAGCTTAAGACACGTACGTTGTTTCCAAACAAAAACATTGTTAATATAGCAGTTTGTTACTTATTTATTCATCACTTCTTTTAAACACAACATAAATTGCCGACACACTGATATCTGTTTTTTTTTCCTTGTCACGTTTGTCCTTATTTCCAATTTTTTGTTTCTTTTGTGAAGTCACGCATAGTCATTGCATAATCTGTGTGGTTGCGGACGGAAGAGCTATAACTAGTCAAGAAAGTGGTTAAGTTTTACAAAGACTGATCGGACCGTTTAAAAGAAAACATTAGTTATAACTTATAATCAATTAGTCAAACACTCAAGAGCTATGATCATAAGCGTATATATGTTTATATGGTGTAAACAATAGAAGAAAAAAATTTCAACCTTCTTGACTAATTTGATATTCAAGATTCTAAATCATAACTATATAAATGATATTCTATTAATAATTAATAATAATGAAAATCTACAAACAGTTAGGGAATGGAAGACCATATGATGTATATATATATATATATGTAATATATAACTATTCATTAGGTGACTTTTTTTTGGGGGGGGGTGGGTAAAAGTTCTTTGGTTATTGGGAATTTAGTAGAGTTAAGTAGAGCTGAGGATATTAGGTTAAAGTTCATAATATTATGAGACAAGATCTTAAATTAAAAATAAGATTTTGGGGGTAGTGGTCTCTCACTATAATGGGTCACTTAAAAAGATGCACTTCTCTGATACATTTGCAGGCCACTCACTATGTCTGTCTCAATCTTAGTTGACTTCCTATAAAGTTTGTGAAGGCCGAAATGCAAGGATTAGTTCCACTATTTCTCTTTATTTGTATCTAATTATTTATTGTTTGGCACCACGGATTTTGAAATCTTCCCTAAACATTTTATGAATCAATTCATAATTACATACCGATCCACTTTTAAAACAGGTTTTCTTTTCTGCCTAGCAAATTGCCTACCACGTTTTATCGGTTTATACTGAATAAGATAAGATATAGTTATAATACGCATTACTATCATGATTATTTATGTTCATATTCAACTGTATCGGCGATTTGTATACGACAACTAATTTTTCAGTCACAAAGTGTTGAAAGAACTTGTAACTCAATTATTACATTAATATTGGGTTAGAGTTAGTTGTTAAAAAGAAAAAAAAATCGTGTGTTCAAGTACGTTTTCGTATTTGTTTGGTATGAAAATTTCACTTTCGTTTATGATCATGAATCATTAACAACAATAAAACTAACAATAATTACGTACGAGTTTGGCATGATCCCATATACCTTTTTGATAATGGACCCAATTATCTTAGCAGAATGCAATTTTCAATGAAATTTTGCGTCGATAAGTAGACTTGACTTATGAGCACACACGTGGTGCACTCCATCGAACCTATAATACACTACAGCTGTATAGGAAAAAAGTGGTGGAACCAATGGGCTTAAAAGTTAAAACATAGATAAAACGACGAAACCAAATGAAATTCTTTAGAGTAAAAAATGGTTGTTCTGACTTCTGATTAAAGTCGTTTAAATTCGTCTAGATTAAAACAGCACTTAGATGTAAGAAGAAACTGATTTGATTAGTGACAACCAATTTCAAAGGTAAATTAAGAATATAAAAAGGATCAAAACTCATACTCCTTTATATTAACAAAGGGGGGTAAATAATTTTAAATTATATTTTTTTCTAAAATGGTCCAACTTGCGAACAATTTGAAACATTCATCAGTTTCAAAAAGATATGTTATAATATCCAAAATTTAATATTCCAATATTCATTTATCTTTTGAATATTGTAATTTGGTACCTGACACCAATAATTTTCATACTTTCTCCGAATTTATTTAGTTGTCGTTTTAAAGTTATGCACACAAATTAAAAAAATATTAATTGTATTAATTTTGCAATATAAAAATATTATTAATTATTTACTTAAATACAATTCAACCAATAATAAAACAAATTATATAATAAAAATAATTATAAAAAAAATAAAAAACTAATAAAGTTTTTATTGAAAACTGAAAAACGACAACTAATTTAAAACAAACAAAATTCTCTAAAACGACAACTAATATAAAACTGAGGGAATATGAATTAACAAAAATTATATTTCCATATACATATTTAAAACATTTAATACATTATCTGACTAACCAACATGTTTGATTTGAAATGCAAATCATGTGCGCCCTAAGATATAACATTCTTTTGCAAAAGTCTTAGAAATTTCAGTTTGTGTAATTAATTAGTGCCATGAAAAATAAAATTTAAACGACATCTCGTTATTTATAAAATGCACGTGAAGAATTTCTATAATCTTGTGACTTTTATTTTTTTGTTTTAAGTCACAATCATTATTTTACAGCCAAAATTCTTTACAATTACAGCCTAAAATTAAAATCTACAGCCACAGTCTAAAACTTCTGTATCAAAAATAAAACTAGTCCTGTTGATTTCAATAACCGGTATAGTTCAAGTTTTTATCTACTGTATATATATCTTAAACCGTCTAATTCACATGCTTATACAAAAGAATGATCGAAATTTGAGCAACGTCATGCAGAAAAATGTGGTTATTGGTTAATATACTTGTTTGTCCACAAGCATAAATAGAGGTAAGCGTTAAGTGTCCTTTTCGGGAGACGTAACACATTCAACAGCTGAGTTGACTTTCTTTAGCCTTTTCTAGGGTTTGTGGGTTCATTGCATTATCCCAATATCATCTAATTTCATCTCATTATTCTCTTCTTTTTTGTTCTTGTGACTATCATCATCTTTTGATGTTACTCTCACCACTGTTTTAAACCCTTTTTTTGGTTTGCAATTAAAAATATCGATATTCACGTGGTATTCTAAAGTTATATATATTTTGGCATCATTTTATAAAAAAAGTTATTTTAATAAGGGCTTTACATGTTTTCAGTATCATAAACAGAACCAACCATTTTAGTCATGGTCAGTATCATTGTAATGGTCATCATCATCACCATCACGACCATTTTCTATATGGAACAAAAACGTTTCCACCACATAAACTTGACCGTTTATAAAATGGAAACTAGCCTTCTCCCATCTTCTCATATCGAAACCCATTTCCATCGCCCTTAAACGGAAAAGGAGTAATTAACTATCATAGATTAATTACTCATCAAAAACCATAATATGCCTCTAAGGATCAATCCCCTATCTCTCCTCTTCCTCACACTCCTCATTGTTTGCTCTTCATCATTTGGTAATATATTCATATTCCATCTTTGTCAAATTTTAATCTGGATAAAGGGATTCTCACCTTGAAGCCCAACATTATCTCTCTTCTCCATAGTTAAATCGGGTGCTTCACCTTGAAGTCTACCATGCATCCATCACAATTAATAATATTTGTGGTGCCACACCAAAGAATATTATTTCCATTTCTTTCTCTGAAATAATAACACATGAAAATAAAAGAGTGTTTTTAATTATATAAATTATTTTTTTCGAAAGAATATACAACCCGCTGATACAAATTTTTTCTTTTACCTATAGTGGAAAGCTCTATTCAGCTCGGAAGTGCAAGGATGCATGAGAGATTTATGCTTTACAAGGTAATGTATTTTCTGTTTATATGTGGATGTTGTTTTGCGCCAAAATATTGATAATAACAATATCTGGTTTTGTAAAATAAAGAGTGAGGAGAACAAAGGGAAGAAGATCATGAGCCACAGGAAGTTGATGTTCCACTCGACAGCGGACTACGACGACGCAGGTCCCAACCCTAAGCACGACCCAAGAAGGAGGCCTGGTGGCAAGCCTTGAATCATTCAACTCTTTCTCTCTCTATATATATATATTTATATTTATATGTGTGTGTATTATCATTAGCACATGAACTAATATCTATATATATATATATATAATATATATGAATGTATGTATGTATCCTCCTTTTCTGACATTTTGTTTGAGGATGAGATCATCAGTGTACAATACCCTTCGGCCTTCGGAAACGCTTCGTGAAAGGAGGACTAGTGACAAGATATATTATATCAGTAATTAATATTTATAATCTTATTTTCTTAACATATCTATGTACTTCGTCATATCGGATATCAAATAAAGATTGTTATGGCTATTTTTGTTCAAACATAACTCGAGGAGTTTTATTTATTTTCTTGAAGAGGATTAAAAATGAACATTAGTTCCACCATCCATGCAACGACGACCAGTATAACCAAAAAAACTACATAATTTTATTGTCTTAAACTTTTAGCGCCTAGATCAATTGTTAAACTCGGATGTAGCTGATTAGTAAGATTCCTAGCCAGTTAGTTGAACGTTTTACTAAATAACAGACACTATTTAACTTAACTTAATCTGATTACATTAGGAATAATAGTCTGTAAAATATTGTAGTAGCAACTTAATCCAAATGTTAGAATCTAATTTCTTATAGTATTTTACGGAGTCTATCATTTCAACCTCAACATATAAACAGGGGCGGATCTAGAAAGGTTTTTTACTGGAGGTATATATATAACATGCATATGTATTTGGTTTTTTATTGGGGGCATATATAACATTTTTATTGGTGGTGACAACTGATAAGAGCTCAAACTCAAGAAATTAGCAAAGGAAATCAATTATTTATTGGTGGTAGCTGCCCCCACGGATTCGCCACTGCATATAAACACAAAACACAATCCCGAGAACGTTGTCAAAGAAAATGTTTTTATAAATATACATGTAGAGACAACATATAGCAAAAGCGCATCTGGTGTAGTGGAATCATAGTACCCTCCCACGGTACTGACCAGGGTTCGATTCCCTGGATGCGCATTTTTGTTTTATATACCTTTTATGCATTTACCCTTTTAGTTTTATAATTTATTTTTTTTTGCCATCGGAAGTTGCAATCGTTCCTCATTTGTGTAGTATATGTCAAAGCGTAGAAACCAGAAAGTGACATTAGCTTTTGGTTCGGCTGCTTAAAGGAAAAGACATACACATGATCTACACATTAATCTGTGTATGTAAATCATCGAGGAACAGAGAAAAGCCTTCGTTTGGTTACAGAATTTACAGGGATGATAAAAATTATACAACCTCTTTACTCTCCTGGGTACTTATCCTTTGAACCTTTACTTACTTCGTTCATACATTCTTTGTGTCAAATCTCAAATTCTTACATCGTATAAATACATCAAAACCAAGCCTTGTCTCTTCTCTATCTGCAACCCAACACGAGTCTTCCTTCTTCGTTTATTGACTCGTTCCTACAAATTTTCTGAAGGTCTATGTAACCAATGATTGTGTCCTCAAAGACCACATCCTCCAGATTTGCCTCATCAAATGTCGAACCTGATAACACAGTGTTCTTGAAAACCGCTCCTTTCAGATCAGATTTCCCGAAATTCACCCGATCAATAACAGCGTTCGAGAAATTCACCCCTGCAATATCAAAGCAAAGCATTAAACATTTCGGTTCCAAAATGCTTTTTGCATAAGACTGATGTTAGTTACCCTTGAAGCTTGCTCCTACGGCATAAGCTTTTGACATAACGACTTCAGTCATATCGGCGCCATCAAACTTGGCCCCTGACATCAAAGCTGCAGAGAGTGTCTTTCCTTTGAGATTAGATTGATCGTTTGTGTAGTCGCAGAACCTAAGATCTAGTGGTTTGTCATAGACTCCATTTGCTTGACCTATCGTGTTACCAACAAACGCTTGTTCACACCGGTTTGGATCTGTTGAAAGCGGTGGAAGTCTCTGAAACAAAACCATTGTTTCAGTTCTTGAAACTTTAAAACACATTTTATCTATAACCCTCTTAATCAATCCGTAAGCTTTACAATTGGTTTCACTCCATAATCACTATGTAGAAAAACGAAATTCCAATGACAATGCACATTCTTAACACTAAGAAAAGGATCATTCACACAAAGGTTTATAGCTTAAGTGAGACATTTACTAACATGATAATCCAAGTTCTCATACATACAGTCATACACTAACCATAAAAGAGAAGAACAAATGATGTCACTGACCTGATTAGCAGCAATTACAGGAGAAGCCATTGTAAGAGTGCAAGCAGAGAGAACGGCGCAAGCGATACATCCAAGCTCTTTCACAGGGAACAAACTCTTCTTGAATCCTTGGCCATCGTCTCTGTTTTCTCTAGCTGAGACCACAATGCAAACCGGAAGAAGAAGAAAAAGATCATTCACATTCACTGCTTTGGCTTCCATAAAAGCACGACTTTTGACATAACTATATCGGTGGCTATAAATAAACATCACAAGAGCTATCTAAGAATCTTCCCTCACTGACAATGAGAATCAAATCATGGAATGCTTTCTAGCAAATTCTGGGTCAGAGACCAAAGATAAACCCACACACTCAGATGATTTCAGTATCCGATTAAGCTACAGATACATTGAACTAGTGAAATTTCTGGAAATCCGAAGAATCGCTAAACCTAGAAGCAGCAGAAACATATGAAAGAAAGCACAATCAAATGCAGCGGAAAGCTAAGGCATACTTACCGGAGCAATGTACAGTTACGAAAGATCTTGGATCCTTGAAGTCGGAGCGGCGGATTCTCCCGGAGAAATACGGTGTAGAGAGATGATTCCTGGTGAACTGAACAGGAAGCGAAGCCATGGCTGTTGAGATTTTGAGCTTTTGCCATCTCCGAACTCCTGACAACCGTAGAGTTATCATTTCGTTATGGATCATGCCTATGACGTGGCATGACAGATCAGATTGAGGCCCATAACGATTTAGGCCGGATGTAAATTGGGCCGATAGCTTTTCGGTCCATTCATTTTTTTTTCGGTTTTCCATTTAATATCAAGAAGCCAGTAAAAATTTTAAATTGTCTTTTATTTTCAGAAATTTTCTTAAAAGTACATAAATATAATTTTGAATTTTATATATAAATAAATAAAGATAGATATTAAAAAAAATAGAAAGTGAAACCATAGGTATACAGAAATAAATCTCATATGATCGATCTAGGCGTTGAAGGTTTGTGTGATGCACATTTAAATCTTGAGCCACGAAAAATAAATGCCAGTTGATCGAAGCCAGAATATTCTTCATACCGCATCATCTTGATAAATCCTCGATAACAAACCTTAGCTCGATATAACCTTTAAAGAAGAGCGAAGAATTGCCTTACATATAGAAGAAATAGCAAGCACTCGAGAAAGTCGATTAAAAGCTTCCAGAATTAACAATTTTATAAACATATAAAAAAGTCGATTAAAACATTCAAAAATACTAACCAAACAAAATTAAATCTAAAGAAGTAGAAAGTTAATAACAAACAAAATTTTTAGTTTATCGAGAAAGTAAATATAATTTTAATCGGAAATTTACACTTAAACACTTCTCTCTCTCAAAGATGAAAGTAAGAGAGGAGAGAGCATAATCTATAAGTAAATACTTAAAACTATGATATGTTATTTTTAATACATATATAAATTAATTAAAAATTATTATTTATTACTATGAGTGTTGTTTTTTGGTCTTTAATTTAATTATTTAAATTAAAATAAAAAACAGTAAAAGTATAATTAAGTAAACTATTTTAGTTATGTTTGTGTATTTCTATAATTTTCAATTTTATATTATTAATAAATTTAATAAAAATCTGAATAACTAAAAATTCTATAGGTGATTTTTCTCAAAAGTAGTCAAAATCTAGTAATTATATGATGATTGATATCAAAATATTGATGGAAAAATTACATATAAATCTTATTAGGCGGACAAAGTAACGTAAAAATATACATTTTTTCACCAATACTGCCACGATAGTCTTCACATTTGCCCTTTGAACCTGGTCTAAAAACACTGCATTGTTGTTCACAATGATGGCAGTCATCAAGCATAGCCGTCTTGCATCCCATATTCTGCTCAACTAAGGCAAACATCACAAGGAAGATGATGAGTGGGACAACAAGCGAAGAAGTTGCTCTGGCCATTGTTTTCCCCTTCTCTTGAATTGAAGGATTAGTTTATCTGTTTGATTATTTGATTTTGATAAAATCAGAGAAAAATACAATGTGACACTAAATACAAGCTCATCAAACATATAGTTTAAAGTTTTTAAATTTATAATTTTTTTAGAAGTCAATTTTTTTTTTCATTGTTTATGTAGTTAAGAAAAAGGTTTAAAAGTCTGATAATTGATTAATTTTATATCAAAAATTGTGCAGTGTTTCTAAATTAAGCAATTTCAAAATTATATTCATATACTTTTAAGAATTATGCAATACTAAGGGACAGTCAACTTAACCTTTCTTAATAGTTGCATTCATGGTGGTACTGCTCTATATAACATAAAAATAGCATGTTTGGGATACTCCAGCTTGACAATTTGTTTTAGGAGGAATAATCATATACTTATTATTCATATAATTCATAGTTTAATATGTTTGTTTTGATCAAAGATTATGTCAATAACAATATGAATCCAAATCCTAAAATTTAGAGCAGTTCGGTCATTTTTATTATATGGTATCTAGAGTATTTTAGCTAGTTCACCAATTAAATAAAAAATCACACCTTCAATGTTCATGTGCACATCTTCTCTATCGACTCTCTATGAAAACATGCTAGTGAGTAGCACGGGTTACCATTGAATTATATATTCTTATTGTTTACTTTCTCGATTATTAATTTTATGGTTGGCTTGGTTATATATTCTTAATGTGTATTAAAAGTGGTTTTTTATGGATTTATCTTTGTATTTTTATGCTTTAAATTATATCTATTTATTTTTTAGAATATTAATTATTTTTAGAAAAATTGGTTGTTCATTTCTCTGTAGAATATTTTATTATTATATATATATATCACTTATAAAGTTTTATTTTTATTTATATATGTTCATTTATAATTGCTTTAAATGATTAAAAAATTAATATACAATATTCCCTCCACGATTTTGTGGGTATTCGGGACTTAGTAGTCTACATAATGTGATTGTTTAAAAAAATATTAACTTATCGAAATATATTAATTTTCAGTTGAGATCAGGAAAAAATATATAAATAAATTTATCATATCAATTTAAATAGGTTGCTGTATACAAAAATTTACAACTACAAAGCCCCGGAGCCACTATGTGACGGTGGAGGGTTCTTACAATCAATTGATTTCTCTCTAATCAAATCTAAAACGTAAGCTAATAAACTCATCTACACGTTAGAATCAAATTACACCGAATTAACGAATGGAAACTTTCACTACCGTTAGATTTTTTTCTTTTTCATAACCCCCCACAAAAGGATCAAAGGAGGATCTTTATTTGTGGAAGGTAACATCAACGTCTTTCTCCTTCAGCCACTACTTTCCATGATCACTTGCCTCTTTGTTGGACCCCACAATCGCCTGTCAAATTTTCAGACAAAACCGTACTCTTTTGAAACGATCTCCAACCGCCACTTACTGCCAAAACAAGAAACATCTGTTCCATATCATCTCCTGCGTCTACATCAAACCCAAGAGAGATCTCCCACTGACCCTTCTCCAAAGATTTCTACAGGATCATGATCTGGACGACTTCAACACATTCTTGAATCTCCTTTTTGACTCTTGAACAATAGCATAAATCTGAGAATGGATCTTGGTTTTTTGGAGCCCACCATCAGCTTTAAGACCTGCCAAGAAGCATGTGCTTGTGCCTAGCAAGAAAGGAACAATGGCATCTGATTTTGTTTTCCAAAAGAAACCGATTTTCAAGTTGTGGTCACTGGCAAGCCGTAGTTCTGAAATGTTCTGATCCGTCCGTCCCAACCACCTGTGACAATGACCATACCCCAAGCAAGAGAGCTAGTTGCTCTCTGGTAAGAGGACTTGAGAAACTTGTAATGAGATGCATTCATTGCGGATGTAGATAGAGGATTTACGGGTAGGTTCTCCTCTGGCCATGTCGCGTTTCCTTTGGAAATCGATCCAGGGACAAATCCTTCGCTGAGAGATAAAAAAGAGGGAGAAGAAAACGGGAGAGTTGTGTTATGATCTGAGAATCCACACCAGGTTGTTGCAACGGATGCATTGGTGGAGAAACGTTCAAAAGATCGAATCTTTTTGGTTTGGGAAGAAGAATCCGATTCTTCCCCATTGCTCCATATATATACATTGGAGTCTTCACAAGCTGAAACAATGTGCTTTCCATCAAACGAGAGAGACGCAGATGTGAGTCTTCTCGTCTTGCAAACGCCTGAAGATTAACCAACACAGAGACAAGCTTAGCTTAGGATTAATCATAGAGATATACAAAAGAAAGTGAAAGTTTAAAGGTACATAAGAAGCAACATACCTTTGTATTTTTTGACGACATTGTTGCCTTGAAGAATTCTGACTTTGGAATCCGCAGAAACAACCAGGACTTTGCTCGGGTCTTGTGGTAAAAACTGGAAATAAAAACATGCATGTCGACTTGTTAACATGTCACATTGTCAAGAGAAGTAAACAAAGACCAGGGAAAATAAAAAGAGATTAGTACCTGAAAACCAGTAATCCGTTTATTTGAAGACTTCTTCTTGTTGTGCATATGTATCTGAGAGTCTAGTTCTAAATATTCTCCAGCTATGTTAAAGAATCTGCAACTTCCAGTCAGAGAACCGATGATTCCTCCCTGTCCATCCGGGCGATAACACACTGCGGATATAATGTCTTTGAGATCGGCCCAATCAACAACGTTGCAACCAGAAATGTTCCAAATCCGAACTTTTCCATCAATTGAACCACTCATGAAGTAATTCTCGTTTACAGGGTTGAACTGAACAGAGGTTACTGCAAAAAAAACGAAAGTTGCAGGCAACAGAGGTAATGTCAGATCAATGTAGTAACTGAAATAACAAAAAGTAATCACCAAGAAGTAGAAGAAGAAGATGCATACCATAACTATTGTGAGGGAAAACTCCAAGACAATCGTTGCTACCAACTTTCCATAGCCGAACAGTTTTATCCATTGACGCTGAGAGAAGATACTACACCAAGAAATTACATAGCAAATGCCTCAGTTTTTTTTACTTCCATTGATTTTAAGCAATGCTTGCAAGTTAATAAGTAAATGAAATGCAATAGATTTCGAAAGCTTACATTATCCTTTGACCAAGAGATGTCCAAGACTTCACATGTGTGGCCACGGAATTCATACAACGATGTTTCCATTATCCGGAAAACTTTAGAAGGGAAGACGACGCAGGCTGAATCAGATGTTTTCTTAAAACTCTCTGTCGTCATGTTTGGTTTCTCCTTATCCGACAAAACTGGTTTCAACTGGGAAAGATCATTTACCTCAAAGTACATACAGGAAGAGTTTATCTCGTTAAAGCAATCCCTCCTTCGTAGTCTTGATCGTTTATCCTCCATGACTTTCCACACGCGCACAACCCCATCTTCACCAGAGCTTGCAAGATACTTCCCATCTCCACTAAATTTCATGGCCAAGATGGAACCATTGTGTGCTTTAATGTCTTGGCTCTGATAAAGAGCTGAAAGCTCCTTTGCCTGTTTCTTACAATGCTTGACCTTAACTCTGGACATCACATCACCATATCCAGAAGAAGCTCTGATTCTACCACCAGACTCGATCTTTGAATCCGCTTTACATCCCAAAGACCGCAGCCTCGTTAACCATCCCTTCTTGAAACTCGTGATTAGACCTGTGACATTGCTCTGCTTCTCTGTTTCTCTAACCTGGCAACACCTGGAGTTTGAACATGATGCCGTTGAAGAGCTTCGCCTTCTCGTTACATCGCATCCACCAACATTTTTGTCCACTCTCAGAGACAATTCCTCGGAAACTTCCACGTCCAAGCTTGAACTAGAGGAAGATACCTGACTAGAAGAGCTGCTGAATCCACCAGATCTCTGCTCAGCTTCAATGCAATTCTCTTGAGCTCCAGATTCAACATCCGAATTCTTCGATTGAGCAAGATCTTCTTCGAGTCCCATCCACTCCAAGAACTTCCTCCGCCGCTCCACCACACTTCCAGGTGAATCATTCCATAGATTAAAATCGAAACCACTTGGATTTGATGACACCATCTCTTCCTTGGCATCGAAGAATTGCAAATCTTCCTCTTGAGACAAGTAATCCATTATTCCTTGAGCTTTTTTTTTCTTTTCAATCCATGAAACCCAACTCAAAGAACAATGCTTTTTTGTTTTCTCAAAAGAGGAATTTCCCCAACTGCCAGTTTTGCTTCCAACCAAGCAACCTACAATGGCTTTTATATATAAAAAATTTAGAAAAAAATAAAAAATTGAAGATGATTATAAAATAAGTAATCACAGAGTCCGAGAAACCAGTTTAAAACAAATCAAGAGTTAAACATCAATCTCAATCCAAAACCCATTGAATCTAGTCCCTCTCTCTCTCCCTCTCAGGCATTTCCACAAACAACTTATGTGGTCGATCAATGTGTAAGCAAGGACCCAAGACCCATCAAAAGATAAAAAAAGGGTTTTTTCAGCACACAGAGAAGCTGAATTAGTATTAGAAAGTGAAAGATCTCATTTTTAGATCCTAAGAAACAAATCCACAACATGAAATGCGTCAGCACAAGCATCACCAATTAAAGGAAATAAAAATTAAAAATTGCATACATGGGTTGGTTCGTGGTTTCTTCGAAATTGGAACAAACACATCCCGAAGAAGTAGCAGTGGTAGAGAGTCTACACACACAGACCATTCAAATGAACCATATGAAATCTCTCTATCTCTCTATCGTGAAGAGACCAAACCAGAGAGAGAATTAAAAATGAAACAAGAGAGGAATTATTATTTAATTTTCTTTAAAAAAATGGAAGGATCAAAGGTTTTATTGAAATCCGTGAAGAAAGAGACAATAGGGAAGAAGATGGATTGTCCGAAGGGAATAGAGTTTTTGGAAGAGAAGCACGAATCTTTGTGTGACCGTTTGCTTTGCCTTATTTAACCACTCTGTCTTTATTGAATTTGTTTCCTAATTTATTCGGTAATTAATCTACTAACCACACGAGCATATTTACCATTCATTGTCATAATCATTTTTGATCCCTTTTTTTTTATTTGCTCCTCGTGCTCTTTCTGTAATAAAAATCAGTCATAAATTAATAATTTGGTGAAGAGGACTAATCATTATATGTGAGTTGGGTTTTGTTTTCCCCTGAAATCAATGTTTTTAAACCCGTCTCGAATAACGACTTGGAGTGTTCTTCGGGTTGCCGGATCACTGGATTAACCTGGATCAATCCGGATCAACCGCAGATTAATTAAGTATATATATTTGTTATGTTTTTTAATAAATTTTATCACTTTTGTTACATTTTTTTTTGTTGTGTAAAAAAATACAAATTTTACTAAAAAGTTTTGTCACTAAATCGCATTAATTATCATATATCTTTTTTCTGTATATTTTTTTTTTCAATAAAATTTAAATAAAATATACACTAAATATAGTGATTATATTAACTATATTTTTGAACATTTATAATTATATATTTTATTATATATTCTTTTTCTTTCTATTTATTTTCTTTTTTAAACAGTTAATTTTTTACTAGAAAATTTGATATTATAAAACTTACAATTGTATAGTGGTGAGAGAGTAACAAATCATTCAATAAAATATAGAAAAACAAACTGTTATTACTACTAAAAACATTAAAATAAAAAATCCAAAAATAATGTAGAAAATTCTAGCAATATTTTTTGATTTTGCTACCGACTCGTTTTCTTCATCTTCTGTTACTCTAAGTGTTTTGCATCTTGTTTTAATTTTGTTTTTCAAAACTATATATATTATTTTAAAAAAATATCATATATTCAGAAAAAAAGTTATAAAATTATTAATTTTTTTCTAAACCAGAAACCCATCTGGGTCAGGTATTTGCCGGTTCACCGGGTTTAAGCGAGTTTTTCTGAATTTAAGCGGTTTAATAGCATTTCGGGTTTTCAACAAAAATCAAATCGGAAATCTTGTCGGGTTGCGGTTTAACCGGTTGAACCGTCCGGTCCGGTCCGAGTCTGAAAACATTGCCTGAAATGAGGTTTAAATGTGAGTTGGTTTCTTTCTTTTCATTCACAGTTGAGTTACGACAAATTTTGAGAGTTATATGCAACTATATATATATTAATCAACCCGATCAATTTTAAAAATTTAATAGAGAGATTCAAAAATATTATGAAATGACTATCATAATTAGATTTCGTTTTGATGTTTTACTCTTATATTTCTTTAACTAATTATTCCTTTGTCGAAAGCATTATGTATCTGCATATGATTTTCTTTAGATGGTTACTACCGGCAAGGACTATCGAGGGAATACTAGTACTCTCATACTCATCATCAAAATAGATTCTTTAATTATATCCATCAGATGAACAAAAGAATTTAAAATTACATCCATCAATCTGCTGTTCAATGTAAACAAAACAAAAAATAATACATCCATCAATCTCGTCTTTCTTCTGATTATTTACTTTCAATCAATAATTATATTCGTTATGCGTTAATTTTGTATTTTTAAAATATTTGTGGTACATGCTTTGTTGGAGCCCACATATCTGCATGATGACTACGCGGCATGTTCCCCATTCGCTTTGCCTTTGATCAGATTCGAACTATAATCCTTTGATCTCTATTATCTGTCACATTAACAACTTAATTTCCAGTTGTTTGATACCTTAATTATTCGTTTTATAATAAATAGTGGTCTTTTTACTTCCTTTTTGTTTTTTTATTTGCCTCTTAATTACTACTCTGTGATAATTTGGCAGCAAACATGGAATATTTGTTACTCTTTAAGTCATAATCATAGAAATTTGGATTAAAATACATGGTATGATTTTTTTAGTTACACGTTCCGTTAATAATATCAGATATCAAAGTTGGAGAAATCAGTAATGGTTGATATAAATTCTAACTGAAAAGAGTTCTGGTCCCGGATTAAAATCGTAAGTTATAATTAAAATTTATCCAGTTCGACTTGGATTGATGTAAAATTACTTTTACTCTTGAAATGGTTTTCCCATAACAATCCACCGATAAAGAGTTTATATCATAAGTAAATGTTTCTGTCTAAAAGGCAAAAGCATACAACATTTAAAATGGTCCAAATAGAAACAAGTCCAACAAAATTAAAACGAGTTGTACTATATATTAACAAAACATATTTAGCTTTTAAATAAGATATATCATATCAACATAATTTGCTACTTAAGGCCGTCATGGCTGAGCAAAGTCTGTCTTCCTGTTTAAGCAAAAGCAAACAAGTAGACATTAATAAAGCATATTCCTAATAAATAATGTACTGATAAAATACTGCATTTTGAAGAAGAAGAAAAATACTGCCTCTAGAGTTGCAAAGGCAGAGTACCTGGATTCAAGCAGGCTTGTATTGTAAAGAGAATATCTGTTGTCTGTATATTTTGTAATTATTTATTTCTTTGTGAATAATATCGGTTAAACAAAAGATCTTCAAGATTTCTTGATAGTAATGATGTTATCATACATGCATCATTATATCATAATAACTATGGGCAACTTGGTTTTCTCATCCTATTAATTTATCTTCATCCAAGATTCTTAACGGTGTTAGCTAATCTTTTTCGTTTATATTCATTTGAAATATCAAAGTAGAAACAAAAAAAGAAATGCAACAGTCGACGGGAATGGATATCCCCATAAACAATGTTGGCAAAAAAACAAATTTCCACGAAGACAAAACTCTATTGAAAAAAAAAAAACGGTAGCCAGCCCAGCAAAAAGGAAAACATACAAGTAAAGATCGATATCTAACATTACTAAAAGATAAAAGAAACATGATCTTAAAAGTCCAAATTGTTCTTGTACATATCGTTATAAATATTTGTTTTTAAACTTTCCAATTTATAATATTATTTTGTTGTGTCATCGGTCATCCACTACATATTTTGTGATAATTTTTCTAATTAAAATGAAATATAGATAATTAACTATTAACTGAACGTTGATTTATTATTGTACGTAAACAATTTGTATTCTTATTATGTAAATCGATCGCCTCCAGCATCTAAGGATGAGTGAATAGTCTAATAACCGTAAGCGCTGCTTTGTTCATTCTTCTACTTTTAATTTGTTTATGTCGTGTGTTCATTTTTGCTATAAATTTGTTTTGATAGCATGGGTGAATAGTCTAATTATTGGATTAAGAGTTCGGTATATAAGGATGATTTGATGGCTAACCTTTGATGTTAACTGATATATTTTATATTTCTCTTATATTAGGTTAGACTTGTTCATCATTTGATGAACTCTAGAGATTAGACATTTGCGAGAGTGTTTCATGAAATATTAATTTTAATTTTAAATATATTCCTTATCCTAACCAATCAAAATTTATGTTATGGTGATTAATGAATTAAATGGACTTACTTGTTAATGCTTCAAACTATTTTTCATTATATACTTAGTCACTTCATCTTTTTTTATAAAGAGTCTCGTTTTAAACTTTTTTTTTTAACATGTTTGTTACGTTTCCATTCCAGTATATAACTTTTCACACCTAATTCCTGTTTTATCCATCCCTTATTTAAAGATAATACCTTTGAATTAGAATCATTTATATTTAATAATTTGTTTATTAATTAGTGGTAAATTTATATAATTTATGAATTTTTTAACCTGCATGAAACCGTAAAAATAATTTTCTCTCTGAACAAGAGAGTAGTAACCAATCTCTAAATCTTTGTATAATATAATCCCATATTTACTATTGTGTGTTTATCCTGCATTTGCATTTTTTAATTTTCTATTGAAGTCATGGTCGTGAGAATCATGGTGAATGAGGTGGGCTTGTGATACTTATAAATCTCACTTTAATGTTACCGCTCTTTGATTTTTTAACTATTAAGCTTTCAATCACTGTATTCTTTGTGTTTTTTTTTTCTTTCTGTAGTATGCCTTATGTTTCTCAATGTTAGTTCAAAATTTTTACAACTGTATAACCAAAAGTGATGGTATGATATATAATTATATATATAATTATATAATTCTATGTATATATAAATTATCAAATTAATTATAAGCATCATATATTCATATCCATTGCCACAATTCAAACATTTCGATCTTTTTGTGGTTATTGATCAAAGCAAAATGTGAGTTTTTTTATCTCCATGTTACCAAACGAAGAAACATGTAAAAAAAAACGAAGAAACATGTTAGCCTAGCGACAGCCAATTTAAGAGAGTATTGGGTCGAAGTTAAAAAAAAAAAACACGAATCGTTCGTATCCAAGTAAAATACACTTGTCATTGTCAGTAATATGTAGCATCTATATATTGTGCTGATGTGGCTTGCCAGCTAGGTATGCTATATAAATAATTAATTCACTTCGCAAGACATTAAACTATAGATCAAAAAGCGCACGACCACCGAATTTATATTATAGTATTTATTATTATAGGATTTCTGTTGTTATGATATTATTATTATTTGCATATTGGTAATAGGAGTTAAAGAATCATTTTTTTTTTCAGAAGCTACGGTATGGTCACTTCATTGCTTTGGTTGTTGAAACGTTGATATTCCTCTTTCATGTTCATCAAACTCAGCCAGATTCTCCTAACCTTACCAGCTTCATTATTACCTCATCATAGTTCCGTCTAGACTTAGTTTCACATAATAATCCATTTTAAAATTTGTTTCTTTCGTTAGACAACGAAAATATGTTTACTTTAAGGTCATGGCTTATGATTTATTAACGTGAATAAATCACAAAGATATCATAGACTTGTTTCATTGAACTTGAAGTTTCCAATTTAAGTTGTCTTTCTATTTCTACGAAAATTTAACTGTTGTTCTGTTTGTCGATAATTAAATAAAATTTGTTATTATCCATGAAATTATTTAAAAAGATAGCGAAGTTTCT